GTTGCTGTATGGTGAAGCAATGTGGCCGTTTGACATCATGTCTGAAATCTAGGGTGTTTCTATCTATCTATCTTTGATATTGAAAGTCGGTGGTTGTACAATATTTCATAAATAACAAAAAGTATATCTTAATTTTGTGTTTCGATAATAATATGTTTACTTCCAACACCGAGAAATATAAGCGGAATATGTATGTATTGAATCAAGGCTTCCACAATTTTCATAATGAAGTTAGTATGTATGTTTGGGATGAAACTAACATCCCGAAGAGCACAAGAAGTAGCATCTTGCTGTTTGAAGCACTTACAGACTGTGACAACCCAAAAACACATTATAGCTTACATGTGCACTGGCCAAAATGGAAACATAAAGTTGGCCTTAATGTGGATGAAAATTGTTCAGGCCAGTGACAATGAAATAAATATCATTGATCACAAATTTTTATTTTCAGAACATTCATTTTTACCGAACGATCGTGATTTTGGAGTAGTAGAAATGGCAATCCAAAAAACCAGTTCCTTGTATATTCCCCAGAATTATTATAAACTAATACGAAATTGTCGAAGACATAATAAATTTTTAGTACATGAAATGAAACGCGAAATTTTTTTTCAACCCAACCTCTGGGGAAAGCAGTTTAAAAAAAAACAAAAACCGTGAATTGGTTAAATATATGCTGGATCAGATTTACAAGGGCTGCACCATACAAAATGTTCTACAAAACTTCGATAGAACGAGATGCTGAATTTAAAATTATCGATTTGTCACCACAACGAGGAAGACCAAGTAATTTCGGAAATATAAAGTTATCTTTTCTGTATGAAAAAAGGAGATCTATTACATCTGAAAAATACAAGGACATGATGGATTTATTACCATATATACCTCCCGTTCATCATGAATATTTTAAAATGTTAAATCCTGAATAAAATTCATTTAGTTATACCTACGTATAAACTGAAAATGTATAATTTGATTGAAATTCTTAATAAAACTGAATTTTTTTTTGTTATGTTATATTTTCTACTAGAATATTCTTTGTTTTGTTTCACTTTTTATCAAATGAATAAATATTTATAAAAATTTAAATAGTATTTTGTTTTTATTATTAAAAAAAAAGACTGATCAACCGAAAAAATTCCCAATTAAATGAACGATTACAATAATTCATTAATTTTGAAAGTGAGGCAAGTCCATTTAGTTATAATGAAACTCTTACATTTTTTAGTCAGCACTGTAAACACTATTGGATTATAAACTTACATTATCTGGTACCACAAAATATTAAAAATATATCTATTAACACTTACCAATATTTTTAAATTTATTGAAATGCGAACCTTTAAATATCTCGCAATAACAAAAATTGGACTTGCCCCATTTTCAAAATAAACGGCTCATATATTAACTGCACATGTGTATATGCGTATATATTGCATTCTAATTAATTACAGCACGACCTAATGGAGATTTTGCTTATCCTGGTTGTATAAAAAATCCCTGCCTCCATAAAGGGCGCTGCTTAACGATGCAAACAGCGCCCTCTATCGAGTTAGCATCGTTCAACAGCGACAACAGTAGGTCACGTGGCCATCGGTGGCGAACCAGGTCAGAGAAGACACTGTCTGTAACGGGTTAGTTTGGCGGCACGATTTGTTGGTCGGTTCGAATGCCCGCCATTGCAAAACGATGCGGAGGATGCTTATCAAAACAAGAAAAAAATTCGGGGTATCAGTTTGTAAAGCGATTACATCTTATAAATAAGTAAAACAAGAAGTATTGAAATAATTACGAACGTACACAACTATACAATAAACTAATTAGTTCAAATCTCATGGGATGCACCATACAAAATGTTCTACAAAACTTCGATAGAACGAGATGCTGAATTTAAAATTATCGATTTGTCACCACAACGAGGAAGACCAAGTAATTTCGGAAATATAAAGTTATCTTTTCTGTATGAAAAAAGGAGATCTATTACATCTGAAAAATACAAGTCGTATCCTGAAAATTTCGTATGGTGGGGCGTTCGTAACCTGAGGTACCACTGTATAAATAAATTAATGCAAGCAAATTTTATTTCTAATAATANAAGCATAAACCTTACGCCGTTTCCTGTTTAATGTCTTAGCAATAACAGTATACAGAATAAAAATGTTATCAACAGTCGAGTAGCCTGTACGAAAGCCAGCCTGACTCTCTGATAAAATATCTCTCATACTCAACCAACTTATTAACCGATAATACAAAACTCTACAAAAAATCTTAGAGACACAGCATAACAACGAGATACCTCTATAATTTGTAAATACTGATCTTGAGCCACCCTTAGGCACTGGAACCAATAAAGAACTCTTCCATTCATCTGGAACAACACCAGTTCTCAAAACCTTATTAAAATTATCTAATAAACAAAAAAAGCACTATTAATTTTCCAAAATTCAGTAGGAATACCATCTATTCCCGGAGCACCACCAACACTCGACTTACTTAAAACAATTCTTAATTCCTCCTCCGAAATATAAGAATCCAATATTTTGTTCGACCAAGTCACGCAATCATTAAAAACCACTAAATCAACATTATATGGACTCTCAGAGCCATAAAGGGAGAAAAAATAACCAAACAAATCAAGTAAACTAATATTTACCCTAACACAATTTCCTCTTGCTCTACATAAATTCCAAAATAATCTATTATTTTTAAAAAAGCTTTTAACACTTTGTAACCTTTTACAAAATTCTCTCTTTTTTGCTAAACATAATTTCTTTACCAAGCTCCGGTACAATACAAAAACTTTCCTCTGAGCCGCCAAACCATTTTTTTAAAACTCTAACCAAGCTCTGTTTCTAGCTCTAATCATTAGTCGACAATCCAAGTCAAACCAATCATCAATTCCAACCATAGTCTTTTTCCTTTGAGTCAATCCTTTCACTTTAGCCAAATCCAATATCACCTTACTGAGCTCCAACAAAGATAAATTAGGGGTCTGTTCCAAGCAGCACCTCAAACCAGCGGACAACGACTCCAACTGATCCATATCCCAGAAAATCCTCTGATAACAAGTACCAGAACCACCCAAAGAATCTGTAGTACAATCTTCCAAATAAAGTACTATTGGGCAGTGATCAGACCAAAAACAACTCTCTACTCTAAAGCATTTAATACAATTCCACACAGAAGGAGTAACTATTCCCAAGTCAATTACCGAGGATCCTCGGTTAGAAACAAAGGTAAACTCTCCCGCTTCATCACCCGAAGCTCGACCATTTCGAATTATTAAACCATTATCCGCACAATACTCCAGAACTTTTCCTCCTCTCACATTCATATTTACATCCTTGGAAGCTCTACTTCTCTTATTAACAGTAATACCTCTGCTATCACTTATACTTGTCGAAATTATATTATGATCACCAATCCGTGCATTGAAATCACCCAACCAAATCCAATTAGAATCGTCGATCTCAAACCTGGACAATACATCAAAAATTTCTTGCCATCTTTGTTCCTGTATATAAACAAAACAAATATTAAACTCTCCTAACGGTAACAAAATGTTAATCAGTATAATATAACTATCTCTATAAATAATGCTAAATTTCAAAGAAGATTTAATGCAAAGCAACCAACCAGCCATAGGTCTACCTCTATTGTGAACCCTCAAAGCATCACCAACAATACAATGATATTCTCTTAATTCCTCCCAATAACATCTACTCCTACCTTTAACGAACCATGTTTCCGATAAAAAAAACCACGTCATACTTCAATAAATAACTCCAGAAGGACCGCGGTTTATTACCAATCCCAGCACAATTCCACGCCATAATAGAAAACACAGAAGTCATTGGTAGTTGCTATGAAATCGGCACCACCTTGGCCGATACTTCATCATATTTATACCGAACTCCATCTACCAATAACTTATCATAGCTTAACCGAACATTCCTTGCTCCTTCCTCCCTTTTTTTCTTTCCAAAAATCCTTAGGTTGTATCTAATATCCCTTAAACGTTTAGAAAAATCATCATACACAGCAACATTAAGATTCCGGTTTTCAAATACAGCCTTTTTAAATTTTAATTTATCACTAAAAGACCCAAATTGACAAATCACTGGTCTAGGTTTATCTCCAATTCTCTTCCCAATCCGATGCACATTTACAAAATGTAACGCGGATAAATTCAAAGTATTAACCGCAAAAGAACTAACAGTATCAAATATTTCCAGAGACGACTCCTCTTTCCTCTCTTCCAATCCATGAATAACAACATTGTTCATCCTTCTCTGATTGTCCATCGCATCCAGTTCCCTCTCAAAAAAGGACAATTTCGTAAAAATTTTATCCATATCCCCCGAATGTCCGACACCGACCACATCCCCTCCAACCTTTGCCTCAACCTCCCCCAACCTCACCTCGAAATCAATCAACGCCTCATCTACATTCTTGAGCCACTCTGTCAAGTGATCCAGTCTTCTAATAAATTCATCAACCTTACCATTCAACGAGACACGCAATCGCAATAGAAGCCTAACTCCCTCTGCCACATCAAAATTTGAATCCTGTAATAAATTCGCAATATCCTCTTCACCAGCAGAAGTCTCACCCCTAAACCTAGCTGTTGCTCTTTCCGGAACGGTTGGAGAAAATGTCTTCCACTTCCGAGCCTGGGACATATTTATAAACAAGACTTACCTAGAAAAGAAAAAAACAGTACGTTATAACACGCTCCAAAAAAAGTCGGATAGTCTCTTCGACAGCAATTTCTTTAAAAAACTTGAAAAAAACAAAAATGACATTCCTACGTACTGTACAGTACATCGGATTTCAACTGGAAATTCAGTTACTCTGGTCTGTTTTCCTTTGCTCCGATCTCAAAACGTACTTCTCGCAAAATCTCAGGATAATGATAGTTTAAAGGATAATGGAAGTAATAAAATACCGTATTTCGTTGCAAAAATAAATTTAATGGCAATTAGTACTTTAAAATTTATTGACTCTCGTGCTTTTAAAATTTGGGGGACCAAACGAAGCTTAATTTTCAGAGTAGGGATGGATTTTATATATAAAAAAAATTGTGAATGTTAATTACAAAATTAAAATCGTCATTAATTCTGGCCCTACTGGAGCTTCGTACGACCCACTTTAACACCAATCCTCCTAATAAACTTGCCTGCAAAATTTCAGAAGATTTCGACAAAAGGTGCAGGAGTTATAAAGCTTCAAATAGGATTAATGAAATCGTGCCCCTCACGTCCATACATACAGCAAAAACCCGCAAATCTTTTGCATTTCTCGACGTTTCAATATCCTCCTAGTCCAAAAACGTAAAAATCTTGGAGAAGGTCATTTTTGACCGATCTCCATACTTTCTTTCTGTTATATAAAACAGTCAGGAAAGTAAAAACGAAACTACAACACCAAATTCCTCAACTATAGCAATATGAAATTAAACTGTTTACATAACAAATTCCAAATTTTTGATAACTGACAAGTATTTTTGTTTTCGCTTGTGGAGATAAATTCGGTTTTACAATCACTTACGTCGGGTGTATCAAACTTATTTAAACAACGGGCCATTTAACACGACTGGTAAGATTCACGCGGTCCTCATTATATTTACAAATTTTCTTAAAACTATAATTTGAAGTAAGAATGCAAGAATATAAATAGGGCAATTAAAACACATTATACAGTTCAGTGAATTTAACTCGACAATATATAATTGCTATAGTATTGCTTTTATTTAAACATTTACTTTATTTAATGTACATATTTATAAACTAAAATTAATTGTTTTCTCCTGAAACTTGCCAGCGATTTCTTCCTCCTACTAGTTTTCCAATATCTGGATCGAAAAACTGAGAACAAACAATCTTTGTTATGGCAGATAGATGTTTATCACAATATAATTGAATTGCTGTATGTTAGATTTCAATGCAAAAACGTCTTTGTAATGCAAAAAATTATGGTCGACTGTCTCACTGTGAGACAGTCTACCATAATTTTTTGCATTGAGTTAATCTTAATTTGTAAGCCGTTTTATTTAATTTCATCCGCGAAAATAATTGCTCAACATAAGTACGTACTCCCAAAAAGGCATAAAATTTGTGCAGCAAACTTTTTAATTTCCGGGTATTGATCACTTAAATCTATACTAATACATTATTATAAAGAAGTAATGTTTGTAAGTAAGTTTGGATGTAGCGGGAAATCTCCGAAACTACTTATCCGATTTCAAAAATTCTTTCACCAATATTTAGAATGGAACTTCAGGGTGGACATAGGCTTTATATTATTCCGTTAAACATTCATATAAATTAAAATACAGTATATAATCTAGGTTAACGCTTTTATGTCTAACAGATGGCGCTACGAGTACGACGCCCTAAGTTTGCTTTTCTGTGAGGCATTACGCTTTTCTGTAAAAATGAACTAAAGCGGATCATCTTCTATCTATCTATATAAATAAAAATGTAATGTTCGTTTGTTCCTACCGATTCCTTTTAAATTTTGACACAACGCTGCATTCGAATGCGCACGTGTTTTTATATAACATACGTGTCGAAATTTCTCGCACTGGGGGGAGACGGACAGGATTAACGCTTACAGTAAAGAACTCTGCTTCTATTTATACTATTTAAGATGCGGTTTTTTGCGTTTTTGATCGCGTTTTAATAGGGTACGTCGACAGAATGTACACTAAGAAGAAATTTTTAGAAAAATTTCCCCCCACGGGGAAGTGTTATACATTTATAATAGATACATTTTGAGCCACAACAACGCGTGGCGGGGTCTGCTAGTAGGAATATATTTTGGGCGCTCCTACTTCTCGATATTTGTCTTTTAAAACCGAATCATTCTGGAAATCAATTCCAGTTTTATCCAAGTCGGAGAATTTTCAACTTTAAAGGAAAAAGGTCCAATGAAAAGAGAAAAAATTTCTTGTAATTCTTTGAAATCGTTAAAACGTTTATCGAATTCGTTTATGATTTATTTTTAATTGTTTACTTGGACATTACTCATTAAACTGGTGTTAAATTGACACAATAATGAGAGTTAGTTTAAAAAATACAAATTTTCTTTATTAAATCACCTGTACTTTTTCCGTACACTTAGTAACAGCCGATTGCAGAGACAACGTTTAGAGACCGACGGCTGTTTATAGATCGGGTAGACTGCTGTTGAGAAAAATTTCATGGCAGAGACGGAGTTTCTCGCCTGCCACAATGTAGACAGCGATTACAAACAAGTTAAACAAATGAGACAATTTTAATAATTACAGAAATCTGTTTACAGATATGAAAAATGTAATATTAATAATAAAATATTTAAAGTTATTCATTTCGACAGTAATTAGATGTCGAAATAATTCCTTAAAAATCTATTCCGAAGACGAATTTTTAATTCGCTATAAATTTTCTAAATATGGATTTGTTCGTATTTTAAACCGTAATGGCGACGAAATTAAATATCGAAATGGAAAAGGATTGTCATTAATTGCCGAACAATGATTTTGACAGCCTTAAGATTTTATTTCTGGAAGCTTTNAAACAACAAAATTAAATACTTTAAATTTGTTCTAAATGTTCCAATTTCGACATTCAAATGGGTGAAGACTTAAAACTTCAATTTAATTTAAATCAGATGCATTTATTTACAATTCGAGTATTGTGTCGGTTATAAAACGTTAATGCATTTCGGAGTCATTGTAGTTAATCCCTAGTCAGATTGTTCTGTTAAACAAATGAGACAATTTTAATAATTACAGAAATCTGTTTACAGATATGAAAAATGTAATATTAATAATAAAATATTTAAAGTTATTCATTTCGACAGTAATTAGATGTCGAAATAATTCCTTAAAAATCTATTCCGAAGACGAATTTCGAATTCGGTATAAATTTTCTAAATATCAATTTGTTCATATTTTAAACCGTAATGGCGACGAAATTAAATATCGAAATGGAAAAGGATTGTCATTAATTGCCGAACAATGATTTTGACAGCCTTAAGATTTTATTTCTGGAAGCTTTCGGAATATAGCTGGCCACCATTTCTGACGTCACAAACGGATAACCCGATTGGCCCAACGACTCCTAAAACAGGGGAGTAATAGCGAAGTAAGTAAGAGCCAATGTTTTTCCGAAGTTCGTTTAGAGAACTGTCAAAAATAGATGATCGTCGTCTTTGCAACGCATTTTAACCGAGGTTCGGCCAGCCAACGTCTACAGGCCGTTCTGTTGATAAACAGCGTTTAACGTAAACTCTGTCTCTGCAATCGGCTGTTTGAGTTTGAGGGCCTTTTTATATCAAGCCCATCGTGGGTTCCGCTGGTCCGGCTACAATGGAGCGGCCGGATGGTAAGAGATCCCGACATATCCGGACAGACTTCCCCAAAAAATTCTTCGGATTTTTCGACCCATCCGGAATCGATCCCGAATCTTCGCAGTTATCGTCTTTAAATTAATCATTTGGCCAATCGCCCATGGAAGCTATAGCGGTCATTAATGCTAATCATTATTCAATTTTTAAAAATATATATAATTTACAAATTAAAACTTATGCGTGTAATTAAATTTTACAAACAGCTCGTAAAAAATGTAATTAAAAAGTACAGTACTTTTTAGATGTCGATGATACAAATTACAAATATACCAAACAATCGTATATGTCAAATCGTCATTAAAAGTAAAGAAAATTTAATGTGTATACGATTTGAAAATTATAATATATTTTTAAACTTTATAAGAATTGCAAAAACGAATATTTTAAGAAATTAAAATAAATAAATGTTGGTTGTAGATGTCGATGGATGATGTAACCTCAAACCGGAAGATCGACGAATACTGTATGTTGTAAACAAGTGACCGTCGAAAGTACTTTTAAATTGCTTGGTGGAAAATTGTCGTTTGGTTTTTTTGATAAATTCGTATCAATTATGTCGTTATTTTGATTATTTATTAAGTAAAACATGGCTTCGAGCGATATCGAAGAGTTCACTTTAAGTAAAGAAGAATCGGAACGTTTAAAGGAAGCTTTCAAAGACGAGAAGTTCGTTCGTTTGTTGCACGAATATGCAGAAGAAGTGAACGATCCTGAAAACAGGAAGAAGTACGAAGAAGATGTTATTGCTGTCGAGAAGCAACATGGCCACCAAGTAACGTTTATACATCAAGAAGCTGGCTATGTTATTAAAACCAGTGAAGAAGGGGAGAAGAAGGCTTTCGTCAACGTTTGTCAGAACGATAAGGTGGAGAAGCCTTCGTTTACTAGGGAGTCGGAGTCCGACGCAGAGGGAACTCTTTGGAAATTGCCTCACCTGCTGACGCCGCCCCGCCAGGATCTGGACAAGAGTAACCGAAGATGCGTCGTCTACGACGTCGTCTTTCACCCCGACGCTCTCCTTCTCGCCCGGAAGAACGAGCGTTTTCGCAAAATGCTCGACGACGTGGCTTTGGAAGCCGTCGAGAGTAAATTTGACGTTAAGTTGGATAGGGCCAACGTGCGGTTTCCCAAGATGAAATATAAGGGTTGTCCCGTGGCTCCGGTTACCAGGAAGAAGATGGAAGCGTCGTTCTCTCCGAAGGATTCCGAAGACGACGAATTTGACGACCGGTTCGAGGAGTTATTTAGACCTCCGAAGAGTTCGTTCGATTGGAGCGAAACTAAGAAAAAGAAAAAGAGCGAAAAGCCGGAGGAGGCGGAGGAAGGTTCCCGGACTCGTCCGAAGTATACCGTTAAGTATCGTAATCGCTTCGATATTCAGGATTATGCAAACGTTCCCGGTCGGACCGTCGACGCTCGACCTCAAGAGATAATCGTAGAAATTCACTTACCGCTTTTGAGTTCTGCTTCCGATTTGAACTTAGACATATTTGAGAAAAGACTGTTATTGATATCCGAGAAAAAAGGCGCTAGTTATAAATTAGATTTGGCACTTCCTTACTCCGTTAATGAAAATGATGGAAAAGCACAGTTTGATAAAGCTAAACGAAAACTTTGCATTACGCTAAAAGTTTTGCCTTCTGTAGATAATTTAGATACGACCTCGTCCGGCAAGATTGGGGATAATTTAGATACAAGTTTATGTGATAAACTAGAGAATACTTTGGATGCAAGTCGATTGGATAAAATTGATGAAGATTTGGAACTAAAAGAACAAATAGTTTATGACAAAACTGCTAAAGATTTTTCCTGTTACAGTTTGACTGTAGATAATATGGATAACGAAGAAGAGTTTGAAAAAATATCTATTGATTTAATTGAAAATAGTAATATATTAGATGAAAATAATTCGTCAAATGTTTCGGCTAGTATTCGAGATATTGCGGAGATGAATGATATTACCGAACGATTTGAGGGAAATCTTCACGTTGACGAGAAGAAACAAGAAAACGGTACAGAAAAATCACAAATGGAAGAGACCATTCAAGAAAAGAGGCATGACTGTGATTTAAATATGCCCTTATCACTAACAGTTCCTTATTCTATACCAAAGTTTGATTATTATCAAACTTCTAAAATTGTGACACTTGTTATTCAAGTAAAAAATATTGATTCTAGTTCAATTTACACTTATTTCTGTGACTGTCGTCACAGTTGTCGAGTCACATTCTACACGCTAGGAGAAGGATTTGTTCCTTTCTACTATTGTTTATTTTTAAAATTTGAGTATTTGTTAGCTACGAATACCGAGACCATGCGAGTGAGTTTAAGCAGAGATAATTTAGTGTTTCATCTTATCAAAGATGCTAATTATTGTTATTCCTGGACTGAATTCCAAGCTGGTTTGAACAACAAACAACTAACAAAATATGAGTTTGTTTGCAAGAATGCTGTCCTAAAGACTATACAGGAATTGAAGGTAATGATCTTTGTATATATTTTAATTAATATCCTATTGCAGTCGTTGGCACAATGCAATTAATCATATTAGATAATCTAATTATTAAAGATGATGCTTTAATCTTTTCTACTTGGCAAACTTCTTTTAATGTACCATAAGGTCACACATTATAGAGCCGTGTCGCCGTTTGTGAACCGTAACGTATCAACTTCATGATTCTTTAGCAATAAGAAGCATACCAAAATCGAAGAAAACATAAAATTTAAGAAATATGAACTTCTAATAGGATTAAATTGCGTAAATTTGCCAACGTCAGATCCTCTAATTTTATGCACTTTACTATAAAAAATGTTAACTACACGATAAACTTTCGGTTTATTTAAAAATTAATTTAATATTTTGCATTCAAAAAATTATTTTTAAAATTTTGAAAATGTATGAGAGATAAAAAAGAAAATCAATATTTATTTAGATAATGTAATACCCTTGAGTAATTTTTAGATTATTTTACAATTTAAAACAAAGTAACATCATTTAGCAGTTTTGTAAAGATGATAAAATTAAACACATTCTTTGGACCTTTCAAATATAATATTAAAATTTTTTCTTAAAAATTACTGAAATTTTATTTATTTTCTTTAAAAACTTACTGTGTAAACAACAAAACTTTTCTTTTATAAAACAAAAATTACGTGATAAGGATAAATATGTATTGATAATCATTCATCAATGATTATGAGATGAGCTGTTCTCTTGCTTATTAATTAATACATTTTGTACTGTGAGAATAGCTCCATATTTTTGGCTCAGTAGATTAAAATCATTGATAAATAAATTTAATTTTGATCATTAATTAGTTTTATCAATAATTAATGAATATGATCATTAATCAAAGAAACCAGTTCTTTGATTAATGATTAAATTCCTAGATTTTTTTGTTTGTATTTTAGAAAAATGTCAATAAAATTTATTTTCTTTCTTTTAAAATAAGCTGTTTTTGCAATAGGTAGATGCATAAGTGTACAGGAAGTACTTTTAATTTTTTTTTTATATGTAGCTAAAAATTCTGTAGTTTTATTGGTTATTAAATTAGCAATCACTATACAGTTAGAAAAATTTTTATAACATGTAAAATTAAAATAAAAACTTTAAATGTATCTTAGGATGAATCTGAAAATGTTATGGCTGGAGATAAACTAACAAATGAAAATGTTCATGTTGAAGATGTCAGCCTCAACCAAGTGACATTTGATATAAATGTAAATATTCCTGTTAGACATTTTTAACTCTTAAACATGTAACTTTTATCATTTTATGTAGAAGTAATTCTACTTCTCAACTCTGGATTAGGTGTCATTCCACTTTTGCCAGTCTTGAAATCATTGTTCTTTTTTCTATAATATTCTATTGGTTGGGACTTGAAAGTTTTATTGTTTAATTTATATATATATTACTTACCTTTCAGTAACCATTTTACAGACCCGAATGCAAACAGTTCAACAGTAGCAGTATTTTGTTCTTTCAAAGAAACATGATTTGAAAAATGATAAGAACAATAATTGGGCTGCAATTTGAAAAAAATGTAGACCTATAAATTCCTACCATTGTCCGTCTGTCTTTCCTTAATTTTGAGAATGGAATTAGATAGATGAAACACAATATGGAAACCTTAGAGGAAGGAGGTCCTGATTGACTATATATGAACTTCCAGTTGGCTTCAGAAGTCATGTTATTTTAATTCAAAAGTTTTCCCTGAAAGCATTAACTGTTTTCAGGAGAAAACGTGGAAAAAATGATTGGTACAACTCTATTGTTAAAGGAAAAGTATAATGTACAGGGCAAGACACTACTAATTTGAGGTGAAGAGCATATATTTAAATTAAATAAATTAAAAATATGATTAAAAATTGTAGCCCGGCATTTATTTCAGAGCATTTATTTTTAAACCATGTGCATGCTCTTTTGACATGTGAACAATTTGCTTGAATAACAAAACAATATTTGGTGCATTATTAATAAAAGTTTCCAGTTACAAGTTCTGCTCTCGCTGGCCTTTTTCTTGGATGCTTCTGATGATATGTTATCTTTCTACTATTAAGCATTATTATTAATGGTTCAAAAATAGTACTGTTTGATTAACTTTACCCTAGTTCAATTCTGAAGATTTTTTTTCATATGCACATGCAATGAGAGGTCACAAACAAGCTTGCTCTATCTCTGAACCCAAACGAACTGTTGATGGTTCTGGTCACAAAATCATTATGCAGGCTAGTTAGAAGTTTACTGCATGTTTCCTCCATTCCTCTCACAAACTATTTTTACCCATATTCATCTAAATAGCATAATCTATGTTGACTGCTGATCATTAAAGCAGTTACCTTACAACTGCCTGATTAGGATAGAGAATTTTTTTAGGGTCCTCAAAATCAATTTTTGCATGCTATTAAGTGCTATATGACATCATTTCAAAGAGCACATATATTGGATCTGCATTCAGTTCAGTGTACACTGAATTTGTCAGAATTTTCTCTAACTTAAGAGAGTTAGGACATGATTTCATTTCTAGGGACTTAAAAGCAATAATTCAGACTTTGAAAATGATTTTCAATGCAGTCTTTTTATTTATTTATATTTATGCACTTCATTTTTTTAAAATTAAGTTTATGTAAAACTATTTTATGAACTGTTTGCATTCTATCTTAATGCATAACTACACTAATTACTTTTTCGTGTAACTAAAAATTTAATGATTTCTTTGATAAATTAATATATGCTCATTAATGCTTAATGTTAATTACCTTAAAATAATTTTAATAATCAAAATTAAGCTGTAAATGTATAAAATATGCTGAATTTGTTTTTATAACAATTGTATGTTGTTTATTTCTCATCAAATGTGACAAATGATTGATTGCAAAATTGTTGTTGAATGTATAAATGTTGATATTTTTCATTTGCTTTTTTCATTAAAATTAAACAAATTAAAAATTTTATCCTTTTTTTTTAAAAAAAGAAAGTAAATATCATAAGATGTACGAGGACTGTTCGAAAAGTATCGGACCTTTGGTCGGCAAAAATGCATTTATTGATTTTGAGGTACAAAACCCTAATCCCCTTCAAAGTAGTCTCCTTGGTAGTGTATACACTTCTCCTAGCGTTCCTGCCATTGCTGGAAACACTGTTGGAACACATCTTTTGGAATGGCCATCAGCCGGTCCATCGCATTCCGCACGATGTGTTCTCTTGACTAAAATCGGGTTCCTTTTAGTGGCATTTTCAGCTTGGGAAATAGCCAAAAGTCACACGGAGCCATGTGGAGAGAGTATGGAGCGTGACGAACCACAGGAGTGTTGTGTTTGGCGACGAAAGCCCGAATAAGATGCTCAGAATGGGCGGATGCGTTATCACGACAGAGCTGCCAAGTTTTGATTGACCACAGATCTGGTGGTTTGCATCGCATAGCATCGGAAAGACGACGAAGGACCTCCTAGTAGTACTCCTTTGCGATAGTTCGGCCTTGTGGTGCGTACTCACGATACACCACCCCACAAGAGTCGAAAAAACTGTCAACATGACCTTGATATTGCTGCGGACCTGCCGTGCCTTTTTTGGCCTCCATGATCATTCCTGAAAGCCTGCTGAATCTTGCGAATGGTTTACGCTTGTGTATTGCCAAGGTTTTTGGCAAAATTTGATGTAATATCGCTGCTCATGTTGTTCAGTCATTTTCCAACTTAGTGGAATCCGACGAGAGCTCACTACACGTTCTCACTCATAGGCCGACTGCCAATGATTGATGCTTCCTGCAGGCGGGAAAAAATTCAGGGCTGTGCATGACTGTCTCCTCCACAACTCCACCAAAAGAGGCCTCCTGGGCATCATTGGTTTACGCAGAAAAAATAAAAGTCCAATACTCTTTGAACAGACCTCGTATAAGTTCAAGTCCGTGTGTTTGTTGATACTTTGATTTCTTTGATTAATTAAGTATAATAGTGTTATTTATCCAAAAAATTGACTTCAGATAGTGCTAATTTCACAATGTTTTACAATGCTTAATGGTGATCTTTTGTAGGCATGCTATTAAGTTATATTATTTCCACTAGTGTTAAGTTTTATTGTAGTGTTAATAAGTCAGTTTTCTAATAAAGTTGATTTCTCTGGCTTAACCATTTTTTATATTATTATACTAGAATTAAATTAGCATTTGTAGTTTATTTATCTTTTTAATTTTTTCTTACCAAGTATGATTATTATCCAACATTATACTGAATTAATCATTGCACAGAGAATCTCGTATCGTTCCAACTTCTTGAAATTTGAGGTGAAGAGCATATATTTAAATTAAATAAATTAAAAATATGATTAAAAATTGTAGCCCGGCATTTATTTCAGAGCATTTATTTTTAAACCATGTGCATGCTCTTTTGACATGTGAACAATTTGCTTGAATAACAAAACAATATTTGGTGCATTATTAATAAAAGTTTCCAGTTACAAGTTCTGCTCTCGCTGGCCTTTTTCTTGGATGCTTCTGATGATATGTTATCTTTCTACTATTAAGCATTATTATTAATGGTTCAAAAATAGTACTGTTTGATTAACTTTACCCTAGTTCAATTCTGAAGATTTTTTTTCATATGCACATGCAATGAGAGGTCACAAACAAGCTTGCTCTATCTCTGAACCCAAACGAACTGTTGATGGTTCTGGTCACAAAATCATTATGCAGGCTAGTTAGAAGTTTACTGCATGTTTCCTCCATTCCTCTCACAAACTATTTTTACCCATATTCATCTAAATAGCATAATCTATGTTGACTGCTGATCATTAAAGCAGTTACCTTACAACTGCCTGATTAGGATAGAGAATTTTTTTAGGGTCCTCAAAATCAATTTTTGCATGCTATTAAGTGCTATATGACATCATTTCAAAGAGCACATATATTGGATCTGCATTCAGTTCAGTGTACACTGAATTTGTCAGAATTTTCTCTAACTTAAGAGAGTTAGGACATGATTTCATTTCTAGGGACTTAAAAGCAATAATTCAGACTTTGAAAATGATTTTCAATGCAGTCTTTTTATTTATTTATATTTATGCACTTCATTTTTTTAAAATTAAGTTTATGTAAAACTATTTTATGAACTGTTTGCATTCTATCTTAATGCATAACTACACTAATTACTTTTTCGTGTAACTAAAAATTTAATGATTTCTTTGATAAATTAATATATGCTCATTAATGCTTAATGTTAATTACCTTAAAATAATTTTAATAATCAAAATTAAGCTGTAAATGTATAAAATATGCTGAATTTGTTTTTATAACAATTGTATGTTGTTTATTTCTCATCAAATGTGACAAATGATTGATTGCAAAATTGTTGTTGAATGTATAAATGTTGATATTTTTCATTTGCTTTTTTCATTAAAATTAAACAAATTAAAAATTTTATCCTTTTTTTTTAAAAAAAGAAAGTAAATATCATAAGATGTACGAGGGCTGTTCGAAAAGTATCGGACCTTTGGTCGGCAAAAATGCATTTATTGATTTTGAGGTACAAAACCCTAATCCCCTTCAAAGTAGTCTCCTTGGTAGTGTATACACTTCTCCTAGCGTTCCTGCCATTGCTGGAAACACTGCTGGAACACATCTTTTGGAATGGCCANATTTATTGATTTTGAGGTACAAAACCCTAATCCCCTTCAAAGTAGTCTCCTTGGTAGTGTATACACTTCTCCTAGCGTTCCTGCCATTGCTGGAAACACTGTTGGAACACATCTTTTGGAATGGCCATCAGCCGGTCCATCGCATTCCGCACGATGTGTTCTCTTGACTAAAATCGGGTTCCTTTTAGTGGCATTTTCAGCTTGGGAAATAGCCAAAAGTCACACGGAGCCATGTGGAGAGAGTATGGAGCGTGACGAACCACAGGAGTGTTGTGTTTGGCGACGAAAGCCCGAATAAGATGCTCAGAATGGGCGGATGCGTTATCACGACAGAGCTGCCAAGTTTTGATTGACCACAGATCTGGTGGTTTGCATCGCATAGCATCGGAAAGACGACGAAGGACCTCCTAGTAGTACTCCTTTGCGATAGTTCGGCCTTGTGGTGCGTACTCACGATACACCACCCCACAAGAGTCGAAAAAACTGTCAACATGACCTTGATATTGCTGCGGACCTGCCGTGCCTTTTTTGGCCTCCATGATCATCCCTGAAAGTCTGCTGAATCTTGCGAATGGTTTACGCTTGTGTA